TAACTTTTGACCCAAGCCTTGTACGAGCTTACTTTTACCGGCATCGTGTTCCTCTCGTCAAGACGCATCGAATGAACTATAACTTGACCTTGAAAGGTCAACTTGAAAATTTGACCTCAGGTCAAGGTCATGACCTGACCGGAAAGGGTCATGTTGCATATCAGTCGATCCGTATCGTCGAGCTGAACACATCTAAGGCGTTTTCATCGCTCTAGCATGCCTCTATCAAAAGTTATTTGCGAAAAACTGTTAGATACCATTCGTGACCTAAGATGACCTCAGGGCATAAACAGGGGTCACGGACACTATTTTCATGTTCATTGTGTCTAAACCACTTGTAATTCAGTGTTTGGGAGTGTTTATAATGTCTTTCGTCCAAAAGAGGCGCATTTCAATTTTCTCCCATTGACTTATAATGGGGAGGTCGCAAAATTGACCTGACCTTAGGTCATCGATATCAAAATTCTGAGATATACATTTTGTACATGCTATTGCTGCTAGCAATCGCTGAAAGTTTCAAAGCGATCGGTCACTCGGTGTAGCTATGACAGACATTGAAACTTTTTATGAGGTGAGGTCACTTCAAGTGACCTGGTGACCTGACCTTGAATGACCTTGGTCTGAAATTTTCACAACATGTGTAGAATTGATGTGTGATAAGGTGTACCAAAAACGGCGGCGCTCCGCGCCGCCGTTTTTGAGATATTCGCAAAAAACCACAAGGGGGGGTGTTCAAACACCCCCCCCCCCCAGCAGGGCGCGGGTTAATAACGTCATTTTAGATGTGATTTATCGTAATCAATGGTATCACTGTAACCATAATCACATCACTGTAATTTACAAGTAATTATCACCCAATTTTCCATGGGAGCAATCCCTGCCCCATATCCCTCTGTGTTTTCCTGTGACGTGTTTGCGAATGCGGTCACGAATTTCGCGAATAGTACCCGAGCTACAATGCGCTACCAGCCGTAAACTGAATGAGCTCGTGACGTTGGGTCGCATGCCAGGCGTAACAACGAGGCAAAATATAGGCGAGGCAGAAACAACAGACACACTTAATCTGGAGAAGTGGCTTTTGTAAGAGAATACAGATTCATAGGAGCTAATATTGTAAAAAGCAGCTTTAGAGTGGCTCAACTTACAAAAGTACATTTCTGCTCCCAGTATGTCTTGTTGAGCTGTATCAATGTCGAACTGTGTAACGTAATCGCAGTCGGTAGCAAGCACTAAGTTCATATTGACAATGATATTTTAGTTTTCATTTTTAGATTAATAGCCAGTAGTTACTTCTCAGCTAGATAGACTGAATACAATCGCATTAAAGAGCCATAGTTAGTACAAGACAAGTCACTTCACAATCCCAAGCTATCGGGCAATATAACGCTATTGTGACCAAGTGCAGTTGACGGGCTGACAGTTGAAGAAAAAATATATATTTAATCCGCACATGAAGTATCTTGGCAAAATATGCAATCACGTAACATAGAATCAACACACATCGTGCCGACGTGCCGGTAATTCACCTACCTCGTTTGAGCCGACTCTCCGTTGTCGAATTCCACAGCTTCTTCACAAGCACATGTCGCAGCGATCCGCTGCTGAGCCTCTGACGTCACTGGCTACCGGCGAGTCTGTGTGACCGTTCTCTGACGTCACTGGGTGCTGAGGAGCGGTCCGTGCTCTCCTGTCGGCCGTCCGGACAGTACTGAAGGCCCACCGTGCGGAGCGCTCCAGCCAAAAGTGAAACTGCCAGCCCGTGTCGGTCTCTGGCGGTGGCCGAGGGCGCGCCGCGTGCCGCAGAGTGCCGCCACTGCAGAAAGCATCTCCGGTCTGCACGGGCAGGGTCAACATGTCACTGGCCGCTGGTGTCGGGGTGATGGATTTCTGACCCGGCTCCGGCCGGCCGGAGAAGTGTCGGGGAGATGGCCGGGAGATGGCATAATAAGAGGGAATGGGGCTGATCGCTTCCTGGAATAGGGGCAGTGGAGATGCAGCGCTGCGGATTGATCTTAGTGAGTCGCTTATAACGGTGTTCTGAGCATAGAGCATAGTGATAATAATACACAGTATTCTATTCAATAACACGCGATAATCATTGTTCAAAATTCTAACATATGACGAAGACAAAAAATCTAAAACAAGGGACAGTAGCATCACGTCTTTTATGGCATTGGAGACTAAAAATGGAATGCTATCTTCCATTTTGATTTCTCCCTTCCTTTTAAGCACTCTCCAGTCTCCAATATATTCAAGTTTTAGTTATGGCTTCTTCAAGAAGCCAGCATAAGATACAAATAGTTATAGCTACCCCAAAGGACGTCTGTGTGTTGTACCCACTCACCCGATATTTTATGAGTGCTTAGTCACTGTCACTGCATTGCCGCTCTGCTCATGAAAACGAGACTTCTTTACTGAATTATCCAGTGAGTAATCAGTCTCAACAAATTCCTCCCACTCTCGATGCTTGTTGAACTGGTCCGAGGCTTAGAAACTTGGCTCCGGTGGCACAAACGCGAGTATTACGTGATTCAGCTACTAATGTGACTTGAAACAGGATGAAACAGACGTATGTACATGCGATGGTTTTTTTGAATTTTGGTCCTGTTGCATATCCTCTGCGATCGAACTTGTTCAACGTTTTATGATTTGGTACCAAATTTGGGCATTTGGATGGGATTTCGTCCTAAGAATTGTTATATGTATTCTACATGTAGTTTCAAATAAAGTACATCGAACGGACCACAGTCTCTAAAGTAGATTCGATCGACATTCGGTCATAAAAAAGTGTTGTGACACAGTGCAAGATACACCTAATATACAAGGCAGATATATTACATATGTTTGTGTGGAATTACCAACAAAGCTGTTTCAACGCTAACCCACGACATCTGACGCCAATTTGGTCCCACCTGATGTGACCGTGGACAGACTCTGGTTGCCGCTATATGTTACGGTGCCGAGCACCATTAAGGCCAATCTAATTGAGCCGTTTCCCATGAGTTCGTTGTCCAGGCTATTGAGGACGACCGCAGCTTTATGCAGCAAAACAGAAGCAGCAGTGTGCACAATGACTTTAAACGATTAATTGTTTAGAAACAAAACATGTTCCCATATCTAAGGTAGCTATCATACATGCTCGTCCGGTTGGTTGATGCATTACCTATTTATGGAAAAATGTAAAACAAGACTTTGTGGCTTGTACGAGACAACTAAAGATCATTCCATGATAATGCGACGTAAAAATAGCGAAATACGTTTTTATGCGACGCCAAAATAGAGTTCGAGAACCTTAGCCTCAACAAAAAAAAAGCAAGTACGGATTGAGATAGCTTGGCCGAATATCAACGAAGTACCTGAGTTACCTTCTTATCGATTTCGTAGCGAAGACAAAGTGGACGGTGTTGCAAATCACATAGGCAAGATATCCATTTTGTCAATGGGGCACATACTTATGAGTATGACGCAATTATGAATCACGTTTGAGCCATTCACACCACAAAATGGGTAACGGCACATGACAATCACTCGTTATATCGACCATAAAAAGAGCTGAGTTTCCTATCACTATTTCTATCTCTGTTCTACCACACATGGACCACTTAGCGTTTAATTTGTCAAACAGGCTTCGTGAACCGATTGACGTTGCGAAAATACAACGGTGAAGTGGATCATTATCAGGTATAAAGACAGATGATAAATCTCATAATCATTTACATTTTAGGTCACTGGTTTATTCTCTAATACGCTGTATACTAAGAATGCACATTGTACGACCTTTTGACAAAAAGGTGCTTCCAAAAGAAGTGAAACATTTGTTGGCAATGGGGTGATGATATCTATTTTCAGCGTCCGATCAGAGGTTATTAGACATTAATCAGAGGTTATACAAATGACGACAGTTGATATTCCCTGCTTTCAAACGGCCTCCAGCACATGTGTCAGGGTGGTCGGTAAAGGCCACGGGTTAAATTGTGTTAGGGGTTCGTCGTGCGTGACTATCGCAAAAACTACGCATGGCTACGTACGACCAGTGCTGACAATGCCCAGTGCACGGTTCATGATCATTTCAGGGACACCTGCTAACATTATTCGCCCTTACTTCTTTGTCGTGAGAACACTTACGGCTACTCATTAATTGTTGGCGAATAGGTAGCACGACTTTACTTGCAAAGTTACGTTTATTCATTATATCAACACAACTGCATGAATTACTGTTGGCAAACGAAAATGACATTTAAGTCCCACCAAATGAGAGCCCGCGCTGGAAGCACTGTTACGCGTGATTTGTGTGCTTTGTTTGCTAGGCTCTTTCGATCTAAGTGAACCATTTCAGGACCGTGGGATGCGAAGGTTAGGGGAAATATTGGGCCGATTCGATCAGACTAGTGTGCCGCAGGGGCTGAGCCCACATTCTGAGGGAGGACAGCATAACCTGACGGGACAAGACAAGCCAACCGACCGCTAAAACTATGTTTTAGGGCCTTGGCTAAAACAACTGCCCTGGAAATGCACACTCTTTTCGTAGCTGTCCTCTCTCGGAGGTCTGGCGGAATTTTGGCTGACCGGCAGTCCTGAGCCTAGAACCGGAAGCATGATCGATCATGAACGATCATCGGTCAATAATTGAAAGGTTCGGGTGGATTGGTCAATAGAAAATGAACGGATGGGCTCCTGAAAGGAAAGTCTGGCCTGGTCTGCGAGGGGGCATCTGACGCCACCTGAAACAAATTGGTGAAGCATGATGACTGTGCTCGACGAGGTAAGCAACCAACATGTTCAATTGTCAATTAAAAAAGCCAATTAGGAGTTGTTTCAGAGTATGTTCGATCATAATTTCTCGGAGAGATGAATTCTCAGCTGAGGTGCTTACCTGCTGGGAAGACGTAACCAACATCTTAGGACTTTGATTATCACCGAAATCCAAGGCGTCGCTTCCGAGATACTTCCGATATACCGGAAGCAGGGACGGTTCCCTGGACGTTTCCTGCACACAAAGCAGATCGAGAGCGCCGTCTACCCGGCACCACCACCTCAACTACCACCCTCTGCAGCCCACCAAACTCCCGTATAGATGTCGCTGTCGGCGCGGCGGCGGCTCCCCGAGGCTACTGGTCCGGCCGGCCGGCCGGCTCGCCGGCCCGTACCAGTGCTGTTCTGGGCCCGGAGTTGGGAGAGCGGGGTCGCGGCGGTGCGGCTGGACCACATTCAGCGGCGACCGTGACAGGTAGGTCCGGCGCGGCCGGCTTGGTGCGCTCGCCGGCCGGCCTCCGGGGCGAGGCTGACCGCGTTCTGGCGGCGTTCACCAGCTGGGGCCTGGGGTACCGTCCGTGGGGGCGGTCACATACGTGGCGCTCGGCAGACGGGCTGGCCACGTGGTGCTGAAATGCATAGTTCATGGTGCGTTAGGGTGTGAATAGCTGCTCTTTATGCGGTGATTTGTGGGATTTTTGTTTACACCGGAATGTCTTATGGTACTTTTTATATTGGCGGCATTCATGGCAAGTTGAACTGCTCCTTTACTCCTTAAAGGAGTAGGTAATGATTACATAGTTAAATTTTGGGAACACTTTTTCATTATCAAACTTCTCACTCAGTTCATTAGTCATGATAACACTCCGAGCGCTCGTATCTGTTCAAGGCATTATCGCGCATAGCACATGCCTAAATACATACTGTGCGCTAATTTTACATTTAAGTGTAAAATACTGAACCGAGTATTGTGTGTCTATGAGCTCTGGTAAAACAATTCAGATATGCAATGCCAGTTTAAAAAAAAAAAATGAATTGCAGCCAGCGCTTTTGTCTAGTAAAACTGGCCTTGGCTTACAAAAATCAACCCTCAGCTAAATGGATCAAGCCAGTTAGTGATTCATTTCCTTCATTGTTTGATTGTGTGGCAGATCATTAACTTAGATATTTCGATAGCTCAACGTCAAAGTCGCTGTCGTGGTGCGAACATCGCGACGTTTTTCCCTCCTATCCGCGTAACCTTGCTACATTTTTTGTCCAGCGTCGTCCGTAAAAGGTCAAATGGCCTCCACTCTCACTAATAAAGAGCGTGGCGAATAGCAATCGACTACGACCGGTGTTAAATAATGGAGAGTACACGCGGCATATGAATAAGAAGCCAATGGGAAAATATTACGTACTTAAATACCTTTTGACGCTTGCTTTGTTTTGATATATTGTAACAAATTTAAACTTACCTCGGGTAAGAATTTAACATGACAAGAGTTCAGATCATTTTGCTTTCTATGGTCCAATAAGTTTATTTATTTAACCAAGAACTGTTCGAAGCTATATAACAGTTATACGGATAGCGATATGCCCAGAATCGACCTTCCACAAACTCGGATTTTGCAGTACGAAGCCCCAAAGCCTCTCGTTCTCGCAAAGAATGTGTCGAACGCTCATGACGCACTGTCAGTAGATTACAGGCGTGTGCCCTCTTTAAGTTCAATGTTTTTACGATAAAATGTTTTCTCACGAAGTGTAATTTGAGAATGAAACACAGCTCATTGGTATAGATTTGTATGTTCCTCTTGCCATTGTCGTAAATGATTTTCACGCTTTAAACCCACGAGAAACGACTTGCAAGGAGACAGAATTATCACATTGCTGAGATTAACCCTTCCCGGCCGAAAGTTGCCGTGACGGACCTTTTCTACGATTTTTTTAGAAGCTCAAGCATTAGGGAAAGAGAGTTAAACCTTATCGGCCAAAAGGGGGTGGGTGCTGCCCCCATAGGTTTTTTCCACGATAGTTCGGGACATGCTGTCGATAGAAAGCTGAAACGTGGAATACCTAACCTTTAATTAAAGCCAGATCTTGGGACACTAACTACATTTTCAGGCTAGGTCAGGTCACTGATCTATGACGTCGTAAATGAACCTCGGCATGGTCTTCCACGGTCCGTAATCCGTCTAAAAAGCCGTAATGGTCCTAACTTCGCAACACCCTCAGTACCAGACGAGCTTTCACAGCGAGGTGAAACTTGTAGGGCAGAAACACCCGAAGTGTCACAACTTGAATATCACTATTTTTTTCGAAGGTTCACCTGAGGTCAGGTCGGTCACGTGACTTCACCATTACCTATATAGTCAATGGGAAAGTATGGAAACTGTTATTTTGGCGCTGGCAATGGTCTAAAACTATATCTCAAGCGCGCATAATCGTGATTGGAAGCACTCCTTGCAAGGTATGGTGATTCACTTTTGCATTTTTGACCTTGCGTGACGTCACTTATGACGACACTAATGTCATTAGAGTTGATCGTCAATAACTCCCGATCAAATTGAGCTAGTGAGTCCGAGAAGCCACCAATGGACTCTGAAAGACCTGCCAAATCGAATGATATGCAATAGTACCTCCTTTGACCTGCTTCATGACCTGAGGGGCTCTGACATGACCTGGACCCTAGGTCAACACCTTAAGTTGACCTCACCTAAACAAAAATGATGCCATTCAACGCGCCTGTCCTAGCCAAACACGATGGTGCCAAAATCTGCGACCATTTTTGGTGAAGCTAGTTACCAAAACCGACCCCGTACCCTTGGGCACTTGACCTGACCTCAGAGGTCACCGGTTGACCTGAGACCTTAAAATCGGGTACAGTTCGCTGCGTCTCGCAACGGCGCACACGTTCACGACGCTCTAGCTCAAGTAGGGGCAGTGTGTGTGTGTGTGTGTGTGTGTGTGCAGGGGGGGGGTCATACCAAGCCCCCTCAGCCCCTCGTCTAGGTTTGAAGAAAACCAAGAGTAGAAAACCAGTAGGTCCGTTAAAAAACGACATAGCTGACCTTCGATTCAAGCCGGATCTTCTAATAGCAACAGCATTTTCAGGTCAGGTCAGTGGCGCCGTAAGTCAAAGTGAACCTCTGAAGTCAGCATGGTAAAAAATGTCGGAAGCTTGCAAGTTGCAAACTGCAAAGCCTGATGCCATTGATATTAGTTAATTTTCGCTGAGAGCTGAAACGTGCAGGAAGTAGCAAGCTACCAAGTCTTCATTTCCCATGTCTTATGTTAATCAGGTTCACCTGAGGTCAGGTCTGTCACGTGACCTTACAGTTATAAGTTAATGGGAGAGAATACACATGGAAGCTGGTATAGGTATCGGAGCCAAAAGTAGGTAAGACACGACAGGGAATTTCAGTGAGTAAGCACATCCATATCCCTCCTTGGGAGTCCTGATTTTTTTTTTTTTTTGATTTGGGACATGCCTGGCAGTCTGTGCTGTCATATGGAACGTCCGTCACTAAGGTCACATGAGGTCATCGGACTTTTTTTCGGCAATAATTCCTGCTAAAATCATACAGCGAATCGGAAGCCCACTCTTAGGCTCTGAAAGGCTTGCCGAATCAAATGATATGCATCATTACCTTCTTTGACCAGCTTCGTGCCCCAGTGGCTTATACATGACCTTAGCCCGAGCGCAACACCCTAAGTTGACCTCACCCAAACAATAAAGTATATCATTCGACGAGCCTGACTATCACGAACACGATGGTGCTAAAAATCTCGGCTCTGTGATCATCTTTGGTGAAGTAATTCATCAAACACCGAACCTTGGGACACGACTCACCTCAAAGGTAATTTGCTGACCTCTGACAGAAAATTTGGGCATCAGTCGCTGTGTCTCATATCGGCATACGTGCTTCTTTTTGGGAAGCTCTAGCTCAGTTAGAGGTGAAAAGACTTATGAAGTTCCTACGATTATATTTTTTTAATAACCGCTGCTACGATAAACAGACAGCAGTGCTAGGCGAGCGACCTAGTCACGCATAGTTCCGCGACATAGAGCATATCGATCGAGTGCACTCCCTTTATTTTTTTTTTCAAACGAATAGACGGAATTTATTGATCCCTGGTTTGAACCGGCACTATCTGTCAGAAGTACAGCTATGAAATTGGTGGACGAGACGGGAGTTAGCCTCATGCTGTGCGGAGGGAGCGTACGCATAGAAAAACTGTTACGAGCGTACGGCATCAGTTGTTTTTTCCATCATGTCCAATGGGCGTTGGCCATTGGTTATCGCCTACCATCTATAGTTGTTGCCTTCATTATCAGGTAAGGGCATCAGCTGAATTAATTTGCCTTTGTTGAGTGTGCCGTGTCAAAACATTGCAGATCTGCCAGATCTAGCTACCACATAAAGGCGCTTGCTTTTACCCATGGGTTACCTATGAAAAAAAAAAACTGAAGGTGCCTTTCTGCCTACATTATCGGTATCTCCGATGATACCGCGCATAGAAGTTGTTTTGCCATGCACTTTGAGTAAGCCATCATTTTCTTTTTTGTATTTGCGTTTCAAGTATAAACCACCTGGAGCAGCTGCGGCCCTCTGGTCCGATAGCTCAAGCTTCCCTCCCGCGTCTTGTGAAGTCAAACGCACGATAGCACGGTAGTGCTCCTAGCCAATCGTCGGGAATTCCAGACCCTATGGCGGTCTTCCAGTCCGCCCAGCCTGGAGACATCCAATCTGGACTGTCATTCACCATTCCTGCAAGTCACTCGCTCCGCATGGGTCCATGAGCGCAGCGACCGAGGCTCACTTCACTGACGATCGGGTGAACCAGGCCAAACAGTATATCACACAGGCATTGCTGGCATGCAGCTCATGCCTGTCGTGGCGTGAACGTGAGAGCAACCGGGAATTTTAATGTTGGCTGAATGTTTTAAATGTGACTCTTCCATCAATATTTCCATCAGAGGCTTCTCAGCAATGATTCGGGTGAATGAAACATTCAGTGCGTGATCTTCCGCAACACGCAGATAATCAGTTTTTTTTTATACCGTGATGATCCACGAGAACCAGGAATTCCATCGATCGTGCGCATGCTGTATTCCTGCAACCGTAGGATTGCAAGTTGCAATAAGACTAAAGTGCATATTATGCACTGCATAATCTGTTTATACTGCAGATAAGAATTACCGTACAGATGAAATAAATCCTGGTGATGCGCTTGGTTGTTTGAACACGAACAGGGGGACAGGGCAGCGTCCTTTCCCATCTAAAAACTCTCCTCGAATACATTATTTCTAATGTCACTGCCCAGAATGCTTCCTCCTTCTCCCAGATGTTTATTTTATGCCATTTTAGTCCCTGGGTAACATCCTCACCCTGGTCATAGTCACAGCCTGGCGAACCGGTTCGGTCAGACGGCGGTCGTCTCCGCCATCGTTACCGGTCCGTCTGCGGAAGACGTCTCTCACGGGGATAAGTA